TTCTAGCTCCTTTAACTTGTGCAATTCCCAACTAGTTTTAAAATTGTATAATGTTGGCAACGTTTAGAGGGCTGATGTTTATTCTTCATGACTTTATGTCAAAATTAGATTTTCTCAAATTATGGGTTTAGAGGTCAGATTACCTCCTTGAATTGGCCAAAGCAGACAATTAAAAACCAGAGAAAATATTGCAGAACATATATAATGAGCTTATGGCAACCTATCCTTGTGAATAGTAGGATTCAATATTTACATTAGTTGTAATTTAGACGAAGTGTACCAGTAGCAGCCTGCTTGCAGCTTTGATTTAAAATAGCATAACTGTACATTTATGATGTAAAGAAAAGACTTGTGAGGACCGACTAGACCAGGCATGGACAAATTTCAGACTTCTGGGTATTTTGGACCCCAAGAAATCCCAGCCAGCAGTTAGGAATTGTGGGAGTTAAAGTCCAAAAACACGTGAAGGGCCAAAGTTTGCCTATGCCTGGACTAGACAGTACTGAACCAAGGGTGCAATACTTCTGCTTGGCTTTTTATTTTGTATTATCCTTCTCTCGTTCCTGAAAAAAAAATGTCCCAGAGTGTTGGAAAATCATCTGGACCAGATTTTTTTGGCACCACAGAGGATTTCAACATGAAAGCAAATTACAACTCAGGGTCTTGTCCAAATGGAACACATTGGAATTCTTGAATCAGGAAGACAAACCAGCACATGATTGAGTATCTACTTTCTATTGCCAAATCTGCTGTGGTTATAAGATTTGTCAAGCATCATCCTTTTAGCTCTATCTCTGTTAAATATTACTACTGCTTATCAAAGTTTACATTCTGACTTTGCCAAAATCAGGGTGGGCTACACATTTGGGCTTCAGCAAAACAACAAACATTAGCAAACAACTACAGGAACTAACCTTCTTTTAAAACCAAACTATGTACCTGAATCGGCTTTGAATCCTTGTGCTCATTCCATTTCATGAGCTTTGTTCATGCAGTAAATGTCAGCAGCAGAACTCTTTTATAACCATTTATCAAATTTCAAAGGGAAATGGTGCATGGAAAAAATTAGTAGTTTTATCATTTTAGAAGGGATATTTTTCATAGTACCCTTGACTTACCTGATTTTGTTGCATATTAAGCCAATAAAATCAATTATACTCTGTAACATAATACATTTTTATAACTTGGAAGCTTGTAGCTTGTCCCTGCTATACGTTACATGCACATGTAATTTTCCAGTTCTACAAGCTCCTAAATATTACAAATTCCTCTTGTAACAATGTCTATTATTATATTTCCCCTACCTTCTATATTTCAGGAGGACTGCATGTGATTAATTATACTGTATAATACAAAATCATTTATCATTGTTGTAGCATAATTTTAACTTGCTTGCTCTAGGCAACAAGAAATCCGACGTGTTTGAAAATAAACGTGCACAATTCAGAATAGGCAACACTTGCATATACTAAGATCACTTCTGAGAATCTCATATTATCTCTATCCAAACTTTGTGTAGTGACAGTGTGCTTGGACCTATTCCCTAATGCCTTTGAGATGTTAGATAGTTTTATTTTATTCTAGCAGGCTTAATTCTTGACTATAGTATGGAACCTCTCACTCCCACCCCAGGATCTGCAGTGGACATGTTCCTGGACTTTGCTTAGATTTGCAAACTGTTGGATAATACCAAACCTCATTGAAATAAAGATTTTTGTGGTCCATGAATAGTATAAGGTCATGCTGGAGTTCTTAGGAAATGCTCAGAGAGGCCATATTTTGTCAGAAGTGGATAAATGAAATGGCAGGTACTGGTGCAGTGGATATGGGGGTCAAATTGTATCTCTATAATTTCTGGGTGGTTACATAGTTAAATCCTGCTGGCAGTTCTCAATTAAAATAAAACCAAAGACTCAATTCAATTTGCCTATGTTTGAACTCATCATTAAAATTGATTTAATAGTTTTCCTCTAATTGGCAATTTCCAAAATATTTGGGACATAGAGTGTATCTACACTAACCAATTACATTGAATAGTGTGGTAGCTAAATGCCACATGGGGCTGATCCAGATGAACCTGGACAAGGTCATTAATGCGACCTGTAATAAATTACAGCACCTGCATGTCAATGGAAGGTGGCGTGGCAGCACTCTGACTGACACCAGCTAGAGCACTGAGGAGGAAGTAGGTGCCCTGTCACAGATGGAAGAGCTGTGATGTGGGGGTGGGGAAGGGGCCCTTTGGTTGGCTACCCAGTGGTGCCGAACCATATTTGGCATGGCTAGACAGTAGGGACACCTTGTTGCCTCCAAGGTGGCTGAGGTGATCCCTGTCAAAACTCCATGGGGGTCCCAATCCGGCATCTTAGATGCCGGATCAGGCCCATATTTTGGGTCAATGTAAAAGGGTCCATTGTCTCATGCATTCTAACAGTTTACATTTTTCAGATTACATTGGAAGCCTCAGACCAAAGAAAAAATAAACAAGTCTGTCAATCTATAGCTCTTTGAAGCTTACCTTGCAAAATAAGTCAATATTCTGCCTAGCTTGGTGGACTCCCTGCAGTATTCTGGAAACTGTAAGGAAGAACTTTATTGGTTATCTTTGCTTACTTAGCACACAAGGCTGTGCAGTTGTGACAGGTTTTCACTTCATACATCAACTGGATAGATATTTCTACTGATATAAAAGAAAAGAAGTTTAAATTTACATTATATACCTTTTTTCAGAAACATGAATGCTACATAGAAAAACAATATATAAATTAGAATGGTCAGAACACTTTCTGCTCCCAGTGCAATGTCTTAGAAATCTCAGAAATATATAATTTCACTTATAAACCAGTAATACATACATTAGGATTTGTACAATTTGAAACAATTCTACTTTAAATTTAATTTAATTTTTTGATGTAATGGTTTAGCAAGAGTGTGTATCTGCAGAAGTAAAAAAAAAAACCCTCATGGGTCATAAGGTCTGCATCCCTATTTACCACCTTAGTAAACTAACAATATATGCAAATAACAATGTCAGAAGATCTGTTGATCCTCTACAATGGGGACTTTGAGGACTTGCTGATTGAATCACTTTAGCTGTCAAAGGTTTACAGATCGTATAATATTGCTTGGGACCAATACAGGAATACTTTCAATCAGCAGTTCTCAACCTGTGGGCCCCCAAGGGGTTTTGGCCTACAATTCCCAGAAACTCCAACCAGTTTACCAGCTGTTAGGATTTCTGGGAGTTGAAAGCCAAAACATCTGGAAACCCACAGGTCGAGAACCACTGCTTTAGATAGACCCATGTATTTTTTAACACAAATACCAGGACTTACCTTATTTCTGTGTAATATTTCCAATATTGTGAAATAAACTCTATAAAGAAACATTACTAAAAATATCTTATTAAAGGAAGATTACCCACAGTACTTCAGACATTAATGCGTGAGATTGACCAAAAATGATATAAGTGGGGACAGAAATACAGGCCAAAAGGGTTATCTGTTCCATGTGGGACTATGTTTTTTCAGATATGGAAGCCCCATGAATATTCAAGCTATATGCAAAGAGGTTGGCAGGATAACCTTATCCCCAGTTCTATCACTCTCTTCACACTGAGTGACAAATTTGAAATTGCTCTGCACATGAAGATTCGGAACCAAAAAACCTGCAATTGTCTTCCAGTTGCATGTGCAAGGAAGCTACATTATTCTTGTCACTTTGCATAGAATGTGATAGGAATGGAGAAGACAAGGCTAGTCCATTCACTTCTCTCTGTGTTGATAAGTAATCACTGCTAAAATGAAAAATTGGTCCTAGAGTAAATCAAGCCTGGACTATACCTAGATGCCAACATGACCAGATTGTACCATGATATGACATGGCTTATCTGAAAAGAGGACCATCACTGTTCTACATCAGCAATGTCTCCTACCACATTATCACACCAGGGCTTTAAAGTGGGCAGTCCCGCATTTCTGCTGCCTGCAGAATTCTGGGCAATGTTGTTTAGGGAGGGGCCTTTTGAATTCTCAGCAACAGAGATCCACTCCTTCCCAAACTACATTTCTCAAAATTCTGCATGTGCCAGAAATGTGGGGCTGCCCGCTTGAAAGTCGTGGTGTGATAACGTGGTAAGTCTCCAGCCTATCAGCATCTGCATTGACCAAGGAAGGTCTGATCAACTTCTGATGTTGACACAAAGTAGAGGACATTTCCAAGCCTTTCCTGCTTGGACTGAGAAATTGTGTCAGGGATTTTCCTTCTGATTTTTGTACCTCACTTCTTGGCAGAAAGAAGCTGGAAACATCCACTCTCTTGCAACCCAATCAACAGCTTTACAGACTTCATTCACAACTGCTGACTTGGAGGGAACATTTATGATGATGGCAATGGTGTCACAATCATGACTACATGATGTTACTGAACCCACCACAGTTACAAATTTATAACTCTAGGTTATGCATCTGTAACTACACTACAGAATGCCAGCTGAAAATGCTTGGAAAGTGGAAGGCAATAACAAAAGAGGAAGCTCACATCACAGACAGATAGACTCAATGACAAAAGTCATAAAACTGAGTCTGCAAGACCTAAGCAAGGCAGGGTGCTTTGGAAATCAATAATTAAGAAGTCACCATACAGTGAAGCTGTCTTGACAGAAATTAATAACAAAAGACTGCAGAGAGCATCCATACAAATTAACGTATGTTCATTCTACCCAAATACAGCAGGACTCGATCTGATCTCTGGATTAAATAAGATTCTTGTGTCTGAGTACAAATTAGGTATGATCTTAAGTGTAGGTTTTACAAACATTTGAATGAATATATACCTAGTGTTAACAAATGTTCAGCATAACCTGTTAAGATTCCTATAACCCTTTGCTCCTATATTAATCAAAATGTGTTGCCTTTTCAAGTAAAATTAAAATTACATTTTTCTGAATTATTGCTGTAGAGATTAGGTAACAAGACTGAAGAATAACATGCTCAACAGCATATAATACAATTTCATTTTATTTAAAACATACTTTGTATGATATAAAAATATTGATCACAGTGAGATTTAAAAACTGTTACTGCTATAAACAAGAATGCAGTACAATATTTTTAAATGGAAATAAATTATATAGTCATTATCTTTAATAAAAAAATCACAAGGAAGAAAACCTAGGGTGTTTGGCCAGTGGCAAAAATCAAGTCCTTATTGAGTTCTTTACAATCCCAGGTTTTTAAAAAGCATTTGTGTCCCATGCGTCTCAGAGCACAAATGAGTCTGTCTCTGATAATCCTGTAAAGTCTCTTCTGCACAGTAAATCCAAAATATTAGCAGTCTTTAAACAAAGTGAGGAAAATGTACACCAAATTGCCAAAGGTTATTGGTGTCTCTAATTGATAAGTGGTCTTTTCCAATATGTGGGTACACAGCGACACACTTCTTCACTGTAATAAAGTCCAGGCTCACAGCGTTTCGTTCGAACTGTACATGGTGGTCTGTAGCAACTGAAAGAAGATGGGAAAAACAGGTGTTTGAATCAAAAAATGTAAAAGGACTTAACTTAAAGTGAAAAGTGGAACAAGATGTTTGACTCTACATTAGTGAGCAATTAAGATTAGCATTAATGTTTAACTGTGAGCCCCAAGCCATCAAGTTAACCACCTGTGTCCACCTTAGTTTTTGATATGAATTCTTAGAAAGAGAATTTCACCTTACATGATTAAAAGCTCATATTTAAAAGTAATGTGGTACTTAATTCTGAGGTGGGAAAAGGAGAAGGCAACTGTAGGCTATTCAGAACCAATCTGGGAAACACGATTTCTGTTTAGATAGATTTCTTGTCTAATTCAGCAGGGTTCCTCACCCCATTCCCTTCCCTAAGCAGACAAAAGAACTACCAATTGTGTGATTTAGGAACCACAGCAGTTCTGAAGTTACCCCTTGGAAGAAGAAAAAAGTGAAACTGTATAATCAAAGTTTGCAAAAAAGTAGTTATATATTGGTATATATTGGGATTCAAACTTAGGGCTTATCTACAGAAACAAACAAAAAAACCCTTGAATTGGTCTCAAATCTAGTGCTGTTTGTCTACATTATGGCCTGCGAGTATCACAGATTTTCTGCCCTTAACCCAACTTTGATCCACTCTAGAAAAAGTTAGGGAATACGCTCGGTTTGTAGGGAATACTAGAACAAGGATGTCAAACTAATTTTCATGGAGGGCCACATCAGCCTTATGGTCGCCTTCAAAGGGCTGTTTGTAATTGTAAGACTGTATAAATGTAATTATGTTGCCCTGGAATTAAAACTTCTTGGGCCACATAAAAGGACATGGTGAAATGGATTCAACCCACGGGCCTTGCATTTGACACATGTACTCTAGAGCAGTGGTTCTCAAACATTTTGACTTGCAGAGTCCTTTTTAGAATCAATTTCTATGACAGAGCCCTTTAGGTCTATCCTATGTCTTACAAGTTAACTGTGTTTAGGAGTACTGTTATAGAGGGAAGAAGAAGGGATAGTAAGGGAATGTAAAGTAAAGAGATATCTAAACAATTGTGCAATAAAACTGTATTTTAATTTTTTTTAATTTATCATATCTCAATTTATTCTCAACTACTACCAATACACATGATATTGTCAAAACTTGGCCATACATAAAAATTCAATTTTTATTCATTTTATTTTCCTGGGAAGAGCACACAGAGCTCTCAGGGCTTCACAGAGCACAGGTTGGGAACAACTGCTCTAGACTATCCCAAGGCTGCACAGCCATCCAAACAGCAGGATTCAGATTGTTTTGGCCCAACCCACTGCCACCATCACCCTTTCCCTGTGTTGATAGAACTGCCATAGATATTTTTTAGATAATTAGTAATTCATTGGACAGTTCAGCAGTATCACTGAAACAAACACTGCATTCAACCATAATCCTTTGTGTCTATGACTTAGTTTGAGAAATTGCATACTTGAGTAAAACAAATCTTATCTATCAGATTGCCATTATGTTCATGTCCTGCCTTTCCTCCAAGAGGTTCAGGGCTCTATATATATATATATATATATATATATATATATATATATATATATATATCCATTTTTATTCTTATAATAAACCTTCAGACAACAGGTCAGGCTGTAAGACAGTGGCTACACGAGCGTATCCAATAAGGTGGATACTACAGTACTCATTAAGCTGTGCCCTGGAATATTGATCCCTCCCCAATTACAAGCATGAATGCGCCAATCTGGATCAAAGCCTTAGTACAGGTTAATCATCCCTTATCTGGATTTTCAAAATATGAAATGTCCAAATTTCTTCAAACAGGTGTCTGCGATAATGACAGAAATTGTTTCATACAATTATATTAAAAACAGTGTGCAAAAAATTACCTTTAGACTATGTGTAAAGTAAACTAGATTATGTGAATGAAACATAAATGAATGTCATGTTCAGACTTAGGCTTCCATTATGTATGTATATGGAAATATAGGTACCCTAAAACACTTTTGGTTCTAAGCATTTTGGAAAAGCGATACTCAATCTGTATGTACAGCAAGTTGAAGGAGGCTTTAATCCACGGCCCATTAATATTGTTCCAATCCAGATCAGGATAATTAGCCTATATGTGCCACTGAACTATCTTGACAATGTAAATTTCTGTTGCAGTGTCTTGATATGGCCAAGAGAACTAACAAGCATGGAGAAAAAAGGAGTTAAAGCCCACCAATGGTCACATAAGGGTCACATTCTACATCAAGTCCTTACAATTGCCATTCATTTGTGGAGGGAGTAGGTAGAATTAAAAGGCTTTCACTACACATACAAGATAGTTAATTTGCCCTTTCAATGCAGATTTTAACCTAGATCTCCCCAGTTCTAATACAGCAACATAATCCGAAATAGCTGAAATAAAATGGGTCTTTAACATTATGAATATGGGCTAGCATCCAGTTGGGAAACTACAGCACTATACACTGTCCCATAAATGCATATAATTGTGGAATGTCAAAAGGGGAGTCTGGAGGCACAGCTACACTTTTAGGGCTGTTACAGAAATTGGTCCAACAGTATGACCAATGTGTGATGGTACCCATGCACATATCCTCAAATGCAACATGTCCAGATGCACAATGGAAACTCCAGTTGCACAATGAGACATCCATCCTGTTGGACACTTTCACAATTCACTAGTATGGTTGTGTATTGTGACTGCAATATAACTCCATCATCATGAAGTTACACATTGTAGCCTTTGATGCAGGATGTCCACCAAAGTGTATTCAACCAATTACAAAATGAACTAGCATCTATAAGTATAAAAAACTTTTGAATATCTAGGACAATGTTATACTTTCAATTATTCTGTGATTCTGAGTGAATTCCAATTTTAATCTCAGTTAAGGTGAACCGACTGAAATCAATGAGACAAAGCAGTGTTTTCCAACAATGCATTTTAATGGAGTACTCTAGTCAGGACTTAAGTTGGCTTTAGCATATTATTTGCAGGATTTATTAACCTAAATAGTTCATCCACAATTGCAAATTTGAGCAATTTTTCAACTTGGAAACAGTATAATTTTGAAACATAGCTCCAAGTCTCTGATGGAAATACACACTTTGACTCATTCTGTTGCATCACTGGAAGCAACATGTAGCTTCACAGCTTATTATGTACAACAACTTTTCAAGAGAGTAAAAGAGAGCAGTAATATATATCGTTTTTGTCAGTAAAGTAATCAAATATTTGACCAGCATCATGCTTACAAGATAAATATTTTGCATCACTGGATAATTTGTTTCTACAAGGACTAAAGAAGAAAAGCTATAAACAAATATGTCATAGCATAATTTCCTATGTTTGCTGTCAAAACACATTGACCTAACATAACCTCATACTGACAAAGCCAAATAGCCTCTGGTGTATAAGGCAGACAAAGTACTATTTTCCAAACACTGGCAATGAATCAAAAGTGAAAGTATATGTTTCAGGTTTCAACAAAGATACTTTTAAAATTTGTTTTAACAATGTCTGTTTTCGTGCAACATACAATGAGCTGTACTGACATTCCTCCTGATTAATAGCTGGCTTACGTATTCCAGTTTACAAATACAATGTTAGAAATGTAGCTCTTTCTCCTCCTCCCCAAATATGGAGAGCCAACGGATAGCCAATCCAATTCATATCCCAAAAGCTGCTCTTTTATTTAGATCTCCTAAACTTGATTGGGACATCCTATGCCAACGTCTATCTCTTGAGCCAAAGGTGTCTTGCTACAGCTGTGTCAGGTTTCACATGGCATATTAATCTGGCATGGAGAAGCCTAATATTCTCTAATTTTTTTATAATCCTTCACCTGTGCAGGCAGAATGTTGCCATTGGTTCAAAAAATCCTAATTTGGGCAAACAGAATCATACTCAGATATGCTAGAATGCAAGCTATCATATATACTTATGAGTATGTCAACATCTTCTATAAGTCGAGGGCAGGTTTGGGGGTAATAATTATTGATTTTCATATGACTAGTAGATAAATTGAGGGTCATTCCACAGAAATGCCTCAGGGGCACGATGCCCCATGACACTGCAACTATTTGACACCCAGGCATTCAAAAAGGCCAAAAGCAGCACCACAGTAGAGAGAGTTAGAGGGGAACAGTAGTTCTTTTAGGATCTCGAGGGAAAGATTATGCTCTTACCTTTCACCACTGTACTCAAAGAAGGGGTTGAATCTTTTTTTATTAGAGTTAAGGAACAATACTCACATGTATTATTATTATTATTATTATTATTATTGGATTGGATACATCAATTTAGTATTTTAGGGTTGATTTTTGACTAAAATTTCTAGATTATATACATGAGTATTTAGGGTACTTAGAGGCACCACACATGCAATAAAGCTCCTCATATATAAACTGTTCTCTATGTGGATCATCATATCTTATATGCATTTGTAGAATTGTATTCTGTTTTAGACATGTATCATGTGAAGAAAAATCTATGCTGTTTCACATAACACATTAAGATAACCAAAGCAGACTTACTTTTTCTGCTTTTAAAAACAAACTACAGGTTTAGGCTAAAAGGATTCAGGATGTTTTCTTCTAGATATGGGGGAAACTGGGCAAATCTATTGTATCCTGTTGTAACCTCCAGGTCAAAGCAGTAGTAGAAACAACAATACCACTTAGAGCTTTCCTCTGGCTAAAGATTGCATATCTTATGAAGAATGATTAAGCAAGCTGTTAGGAAATGTTCATATAGACACATTTTTCTTGGAAAGGACTGTTCTATCAGATTAAAGGTTCAAATAAGTCAATGTTGTAACCATATTGGCATGAAATGGCCGAGGATCACTCTTGGCTGGGGCAAACAATCCTTAGTATTGTTTTGCAGCTAATGCTTTGGGCCTTTCCAGACAGCCCAAAAATCAAAGAGGAAGTAGGATTTTAAATCCTACTTCCTTTCAGGATGGAGGCCACACAGCTGGTCTGAAGCCT